TGTGCTGAACATTCAGCAATAGATCGTGTGAAGTCTCACTTTTATTAAAACAACTCGTGGGCCAGGCAGCCGACATTGGGGAGGTTAGAACGGACATGTGCAAGTCCCTGATGGGCCCAAAGGCCTCACTGACCGTCGGCCGCAATACCACTCTTGTGCTCAAATCTTGAGGATTTGAGTTTGAAAGAATGAACCTCAGGAGACCTTGAACTATAGAGACTTACCCTCCAGCGACCATGGACAGGGACCAAACAAAAGAGGCTGAACAAAAAGGACAACATTTCCTGAGGATTTTGAGTGTTAAGCTCGGCACATTCTTTGAAACCCACGCTTGCTGTTTGGACAGAGGAAAATCATTAACGGCTAATGTGTACCAACCGCGTCTCGCTGGGCCCTGCGCCGAACAGTTTACACGGAAATGCTCGCACGTAAGTGCTCACAATAGAACCATTAACATTACACAGGTACTGGAGTCCCCAGGCCACCGCCACGGCCACGGAAGCTTAGGTGGGAGGGAGAAGCCGGCGGGGACCCAGTGGCGAACGGCTGTTCCTGCGGCAGGGCTCCGCCACCAGCCTGGCAGCGCCGTTTAAAAGTGCGGCGTTTCCACAAGAGTCGTTCTCACCGGAAACCTGCTCCGGTAACCGCCCTCCCTTCGCCACGTCCGTCTGGAATTGCCCTGGCCTCACACCCGTGGCTTCCACTCTACTGGGGCAATTGCTGATTCACCCACACTGAGCGGACACTGTTTTTCTCGGTCCTCTGGGTTCCTCCAGGTTTTCAATAGTGCCCCCCCCCCCCCCGCTTGGCTGGGCAACCCCGGTTTGTGGGTGCGCGGTCTGTCTCTGGCCTGCTCTGAATCGGGAGGCTGCACCTGAATGGTGGGTGGACCACATAGCCAAGCCCCTCAGGGGGTGTCTGTGACGAATCCACTCCCCCGTGGACACTTGGGGCCCAGTGGGGGGCGCTGTGCTACTGGGCCCTTGTTCGAAGGCTACTGCCGAGAGCCACGGCTGGGCTGCACAAGACATGGAAGGTTCAGCTTCGCCAGAGAGCAGCCCGCCTGAGTTTTCTTCGTCCGGCTCCGCACAGGTCGCTTTCCAGAGCTGCTGGGTTGGCCCAGACCGCAGCTGGCACCCCATTTCCCCTGGCGAGTGGCCGCGGGCAGGATGCTCACCGCTACTGAACGTGCCACGCACTGTGTGCCCCAACACGTGCTGTATAAAAACGGGTGCTGTGCACCCCCCGGAGCCCAGCGCCAGGACAGGGGTGGTCCCCTCCGACATGTGGTTTGTGCCTCTCTTTTCTAAGTCAGAGGGACGGCAGCGACCCAGTTGTCGGGAAACTGGTAGCTTCCTGTCCTGTCCTGTAACCCGGGTCTGCGGCCCGGGCGCCTGCTGGGCTGCCTGTGTTAGCAGCCTCAGGCCCCCCACCGGCCCCCCGCTTTGCTTCCTTCCACTAGGCTTAGACCTCACGCTGCTTCGCAATGAAAACAGCGTAGGCTCAGGTGTCTGGCTGCCCGGGACTTTGAGAGTCGTGCTCACAGTGTTCAGCGGTGCGACACTGAGTGAGTTCCATAATATTCTGCCTCCCCTTTCCGTTTACGTGGAGAGGACTCGGAGAGTCCCTGCGGAGACCGTCCTTGTGAAAGTGAACTGAAGTGACACCTAAGACCGTGGTTCTCAGACATCACTATTGCACTCTTGTCCTTTTTAAAAAGTTGTGGTAAAACATACGTCAGGCATGGAATTTGCCCTCCCAGGTGATCCCCAGGGCGCAGCGCGGCAGTACCCGCACCCCTGTGGTTGTGCGGGGCTCTCGGACCTGCAAGGCTGAGGCTCTGCCTGCCGAGGTTCAGCCTTGGCAGGGTTCGGGGTCCCTGAAGGATGGACGGCGCAGGCACAAGTGATGAGTCAGACACCTGATTGGATGCTGGAGAACAGCCAGCCTCTGTGGGTCTGACCGAACTCCCAGAGTCTGAGTTAGGCTTTACATTTATATTTATTTTTTATATTTTTATTTAGGCTTTATCTGTATAACATTAAAGGAACAGGTGCATGGCATGAACAGTTAAGGAGAAAAAACCAATACAGAGGTTACCAGGAAAAGTACAAGAATTTCCATAGTTTCAGTTATGTTAAACAGAAGTTGTTTTGACCAGGAGAACCATTAATCAGACAATTTGAAATAGCTGTATGGACAGAGTTTGAATGTCTTATTTTTTATTAAAGGTCTTAGAATTTGACATGGGGCAAAAGGGTACGCTAGACTGAGCAGAGGTTAGGAAATTCATTATAAGATCTTTGTGATGTCTAACTTAGCTATCTATCTTTCTGTCTAAAATGTTTCTTTATGTAATATGGACTCCGACTCCTTGGTAATTGTTTCCACGTGCTTAGTTTGTACTAGCTAACCAGCTTCCCTTGTTTCTTTGCCTGTCTACTTCTAATTAATAGATATTCCTGTCCAAGGTAGAGGAGGGGCTGTTACTCCATCAACTTTTAGACATTCAGGGGCTACCCCATCAGGGGGGACTTTGTTCTCTGGCCAAGAACTCATTTTGTACAACTTCATTGGAATTATGCGGATCATTGGACCTGAAATACAGGTGTCTAAAAATCCCACCACCTATTAACCACAAAGACAGACGTTCAGGGAGAGAGAGACAGGAAGTCCAGCCACAGTTGCCTCTGTCGTGCAGATGCATCTCATCCGTCCCGACTGTGTCCAGGGACGGCTGCTGGTCGGCTCCCGACATCTGGTCCCACCAGAAAACTGCCCCCCACGCCCTGCTCCCTGCAGCCCCCACAACCACCTTCTCTTCTGCTTCCCATCTCTGTGAGCCCCACTACTGGAGGGGCCTCGGGGGCATGGGACCCCACTGTATGTGTCATTTTCCACCCAGGTGAAGTCACTGAGCCTGGTGTCCTCAGGGCTCATCTGTGAATTAGCGTGAGTCAGCTGTCCTTTCTCTTTAAGGCTGAACAACAGTCCAGGGTCCGCCCGGAGCACATTGGGCTGGTCTGCTCCTGCCCTGATGGGCGCGTGTGTTTCCGCCTCTGGCCCCTGTGACCAGCGCTGTGCGAACTTGGACCCCCGTAGACGCCCTGCCTCCTCCCCGTCACCCCCCCGCACCTGCTCCGCTCTGTCCCCCCCCCCCCCGACACTCTCCGGCTGTGCCATGAGAAACTCACATTTCAGAGCCTGCAACCCTCCTCAGTCAGGTTCTGTTTTGCAAACGCAGGCCAAGAGGTCAGAGGACCTTTTAAAACACCATTCGCTTACTTACTTTCTCAGACTCAGCGCCCACCCCCCCCCCCAGTCCGAGGGAGCGTGGGGCCTCCTGCCTGCGCTCACACTCGGGTGGGGAGGGGACGGTGACAGCCTTCGCACACCCCCGTCACCAGCACTGCACAGAATTAGGGACAGAACTCCACTTCCACCAGGGGCTTGCTCTGCGTCCTCGGTGACAAAGTTCCCAGCCAAGCGAGGAAAACGTTTACTATGTTATGTTTTTCCTTTGGGCGATTCAGCCTCTGGCAATGTTAGAATTTTTGCCGAGGGAGCCCGGGGTGCTGCTTACTCACCTCTCCAGCTGAGTTCAGCTACCGAGTTCCAGACAGTGTGGCATTGGAGCCACACGGAGCAGCAGAGCGGGACAGAGAGCTCAAAATGTCAGCCGTCAAACCGCGAAACTTTTAGAGAGAGACCCAGGAGAAAATTTGGGGGCCTTAGGACTTGGCGAAGGGCTACAATGGACGTCAAGAGTATAATCAATAAAGGGAAAAATCGATAAATAGAACTTCATTGAAATTAAAAATGCTGCTCTGTGAGACCCTGTGCAGAGGATAATTGAAAAGGTCAGACAGCAGAAAATACTGGCAAACCACTCGGTTGACAAAGGACTGGTACTGGCCTACAGAGGGAACCCCCAGAGCAAATGGACCAAACAGTCCAAGTAGAATACGGACACCTGGGATGCCAGATGCGCACCAGGATGAGGTGCACCGTCGCTGCTGTTGGGCACATGCAAATTAGGATTCGACGAGACAGCACTACACGCTTCCAACAGCGAAAATAAAAAAATGACAACATCAAGTGCTGGCAAAGAGGTGCAGAACCTGCACCTCCTGCATCGCTGGCTGGGGTGTAACATGGGGCAGCTGCTCTGGAAAGTAATCTGGCACTTTCTTAACGACTTGAATGTACAAACCACAGGCTGAACAACCACACCCAGAGAAATGGAAGCCTGTGCCTGCAGGAAGTGCTGGACATTGGTCTTCATAGCAGATGCGTTCGTCATAGTCCCTAAGTGGAAACATGCAGCCTGTCCTTCTATCAGTGAATTGGCTACGGGCACTGGTTCATCCTCAGAGAATAACAACTGTGGTTGTGCCTGACGACTTGTATGGATCCGAGGGGCCGTGTGCTGGGTGGGAAAAGACGCCATCCAAAGGCTCCCCGCTGCGTGGTTCCGTGTCCTCAACTTGTGACAACTGGAGTTGGGGGACCGGTTAGAGGTTGGCAAGGGGCGGGGCGCCCGGGGGCGGGGCTTCCCGGTGGTAGAATGGATTGGACCCTGGTTTTGCTGGTGGTCCCGGCAATCTTCGCTCGGGATGAGATCGCACGGGCGCGCACACGGCACCCGCGCCGAAGTCCGGGGTTTGCACCACCCCACAGTTAAGTGAGGTCGAATCCGTGGGAGACACCAGCTGGGGGCACGAAACAGACGCGGCCTGCGTGATTTCCTCCGAGGAGAGAAAACGCAGGTCTCAGGTCTGCGCTCCCCAGGAGTCAGACCGGGGTGCGCACCGCGGCCCAGGGCGAGGGGGGCCTCTCCGGGGGGCGGGAGGCGGTGTCGGTGCAGGGCGGGGCAGCGCCCCTCCGGGAGAAGCAGAAGGGCGGAGCAGCAGCACTTTCCCCGGCCGCCCCTCTCCGCACCTGCCCGGTGCCCGGCGGAGCCTGGGCTGTCCAGGCATCAGACGCGCCGCGGCCGCGCGATGCGGTCGCTCAACATCACTCCGGCGCTGCTGTCCCAGCTGCTGCGGGACCACAACCTGACCCGCGAGCGCTTCATCGCGCAGTACGGACTGCGGCCGCTGGTGTCCGCCCCGGAGCTGCCGGCGCGCGCCAAGCTGGCCCTGGCGCTGACCGGCGGGCTGCTCTTCGCGCTGGCGCTCTTCGGCAACGCGCTGGTGGTCTATGTGGTGGCCCGCAGCAAGGCCATGCGCACCGCCACCAACATCTTCATCTGCTCGCTGGCGGTCAGCGACCTGCTCATCGCCTTCTTCTGCATCCCGGTGACGACGCTCCAGAACGTCTCGGACACCTGGCTGGGGGGTGAGTCCTCCATTCCCAGGTCCGTCCGTCCGTCCGTCCAGGGGAGACCCCCCCCTTCACCCTGCACCCACACGCTCTGCGGCTGGGACCTCCTGACGTTTCTCTCTAGCAAAGCAATGGGGGCCTTTCTCAGAACTTCCTCACCTGCGCTCACCTAAGATAAGTTTTTGCCGCTGGTGGTTCTGCAGCGCGGAGATGTCAGGAGGGTCCGCTCCGCAGGTGTTTCGGCTTCCCCGTTTCGTAGTTACTAATATCTGTTCGAATTTTAAATAAAAGATAAAACTATCCCATGTTCCCAACCTCCAGGCTCACTCCCCAACGTGCTGGTGTGGCTTTCAGATGGTTATTTGCTTCCCAAGCAGACGCATGGACTTGAAACGTGAGAAAAGCAAATACAATACATTCGCAGAAAAGAGTATATTGGACCAGTCATTGAAAAAGGGGGGAGTAGCAGGGCCAGGCCAGGGCAGGACCCCAAACCTCAGCCTTCCTGCCAGAAAGGAGGTGGCTTCCTTCCCTTCCCCAGTAGGGGCTGCAGTGGGGGGCCCGGGACTCAGTGAGTCATCTGGTGTGTGAAGGCCCCTGCCCCCCTGCCCCGGGGCCTGTGGTGCCCCTTGGAGGGGAAGCATCCGGTGCAGCCTCAGTCGTGGGTGGGCGCATTCCTGGGGCCACCGGGACATCCTCACAAGGTGTCTGGAGACAGAGGGCGGCTGTGAGAGCAGCAGACCTGGGCCTCCGGGCCCTTCGTTTGCACCCCTTTGCCCATTCAGTTTCCCCTCACGGAGGGGGTCCCTCCCCCCCCCACGGTGGCCCCCGAGACACCTCTGCTGTGTCTCGCTGGCACCGCCTTTCCCGTTGATTTGCTCTGGGTTTATTGTTCATGGATCAGGGTGCTGAACCTTTGATTCCCATCTCACCAGTGATGAAAAATTTCTCCAACTGGATAAAACATTTGAGCATGTAACGTGGCCTTGAACATGACATGTAACACAGAGAGCTATGAGTTGATTTATGGACTCGAGACTTCGCATGCACGCAGTGAAATCCCTGTGCTGGAGTGTCTGCAGGTTGCCCAGTGCGGTGAGCCCCATAAAACGTGTGTGCGATCCCAGTGCTGGTGAAGACAGGTGCAGGGAGCGTGCAGGAGCCGCCGTGTGCCGGGCTCCGGCCCTGAAGGACAGTCTCCCTGAGCAAAGCGGGACAAGCTCCTGGGAGTCGTAAGACTCCAGAGTGGAGGGGTTAGACTGGAGCCTCTGGGGGTCCATTTCACTGACTGGTGGCTCAAAACGTTCACTCGTTATAATGATTTTCCATTTTCTATACCATTTTGGAAACTTTAGGGTCCCTAGGAACATTTAAGTAAAGTAGAATTAATGAAAAAAAATCACCAGGATTATGGGGATTTTCAAACATCTTTTAGTTGGAATGATGGAAGCTATTAGCGAAGAACAGTCTCACGAAAGCAGAGAGGTATTAAAGCACACAGGAACACGGTGGGGGGGGCAGTGCTCAACCACAACAGGGCTTCGTAAGTAATATCAAAACCTGACCCTTGGGGCCAGCCTGCGGTGACCTCCCTGGAACCAGCTGTGCAGATGCGTGAGAAGAAAAGGTGTTCGAGGTCCGGGGACGAGGACGTTTTCTTGAGAGGTGGCGGGCGCAGCGCCAGGATTCACATAAAAGATTCTCTCTCCTTGGCACCACAGCATTGCACAGTTAGTTAATGTATTTAGCCATTCTGCTATTTTGGACATTTCTTTATACTAAATGAGGTTATTACATATTTGGTAAACACTTCAGTACAAAAATTACATAAAAATTCCACGAATTGTATTATTTCTGGGGAAGGACACTTGGTAATGCATTTTTTTTGGTCAATAACCTTCACACTCAAGAATTTTTCCCTAACATCTAGCTTGACCTGCTACATTTCTTCCCTAGTATACAAAAAAAAAAAAAACCTCCTTTGTTACTTGGCAGTGACTTGCGTTGACATTTTAAACAAGCTGGAACCACCTGGCTATCTACTTTTCTGCCCAAATGTTACTGTGGGGTCATTTCATTCTGTTTTTTTAAAGTCTACTGCCATTAGTGGAGAATAAAAAACCAATTCAGTTATCTTTCTAAAATAGTGTTTGTAGCTCTTAGAATAATGGAAAGTAGGAGGGAACTCCAGAAAAGAATAATTTTTCATCTTGTTTTCTGGCACAAACGTACAGCCAGAGGTTCTTCTTGTATCGTGAGGAAGGGGGCCCTCGGGGGAGAACAGAAGGACTAGAGTGAGCTTGGGCAATCGAAATTCAGGAAGCAGGCGTTCAGGGCAGGGTCTGAGAAACGCAACTCTGACTTAAAACCAGATGATCCCAGAAGGGAAAAAGGGAAGGACGGCCCAAGAAAATAGTGCCCCACTCGAGGAATGCTAGGATTACCCCAGTTTAAAAGGGCCACTTGTAAGAAAAAAGGCCGCAAAGGACATATTCCTGCAGAATAGCTTAAACCCACACAAGTCACGTGGGGACGGCCACAGCGTAGCAGGAGCCGACCAGAGTCACCAGAAAGAAAAGCTAACAAAGGCCGATGTTCCATAAAAGGGCAGAGACTGCCCTCGTGCCTATTTTGCTTCAGATTTCGAGACCTTGAAAAATGATTTCCACATTAAAAAGGGCAACGCAAAAAAGGTTAGAATAGAAATAAAGATCAAGATAAATTAGCAAGAGAGCATCTACCCACTTTTAAAGGAACTCCTGTCTTCCGCGTAGACGTTGGTCGAACTGTCAGTCCAGGGCTCATAAATACAGACGATGAGGATGACAGTCAGATAAAATATGGGCAGTGAACTCAAATATTTAAAAAACTATTGCATCCGCCATGTCTGCAGACCGAATCTCCCCCAGGGGCCGCTGGTTTGAGACCTTCACTTTAGAGAAAGCGAAATCAGCAGGGACAGGGATGGTGTGACCCGGATGGGAAGTCCTGGGTGGGAAGTCAAACTCCAGGACGGCTCCTTGTGGTGACGTGGCCAGGGACGGGGTGGTGGTGGTGGGGGGGGAACTGGAGGCTACTTCCTATCTTGGGACCCAGGAGAGCCGTTGCCCAGGCAAAGGTCGCACGGCTTTTTCCCCAACCTGTTTTCAAAGGCCAAGACTCCCTTGCCCCGTCCTCGCCCCCTTGCCCGTAAGTACCTACAATTTAGGAACTCGGAACCCTCGCAGGGGGAGAAGCCGTGGGCCAGCGCGCACTGTCTCCATTTTCGTGCGCCGCCCTTGTAATCGCAGACTTGAAACTTTAGGGCGGGGCTCACAATGAACGAACTGAGACAGTTGCAGAGAGACAGAGAAATGATCCTTCTTTCCATGTCTGCCCGGTTTGCCGCCACAGGTGCCTTTGTCTGCAAGATGGTGCCCTTCGTCCAGTGCACCGCGGTCGTCACCGAGACCCTGACCATGACCTGCATCGCCGTGGAGAGGCACCACGGGCTGGTGCACCCTTTCAGGATGAAGTGGCGATACACCCTCCGGCGGGCTTTCACCATGCTAGGTGAGGGCCTGCCCCGGCTGCCCGATGCCGCCCAGCCCCGAGTAAACAGGGGTGAGGGGGGCAGCTTCTCTCCCAGCTGGTTGGCACTCAAGGGCTAACATGAGGGCTTTGGTCCTCTCCCCGCCCACCCCACCCCACCCCTACCCCATCTCTCCCAGGGGTGCTCTATCTCCCATTTCTGATGTCTTTCCTTGGTTTAAGTCTCAACCATGGAAGCCTGGCCTCCCTGGACCTCGGCCAGTCCCTCAGTGGCGTTGCCACAGTGACGTTGATTAGGCAGGAAACGGCTGTTTGGACCTGAGGGGCCGCTGAGACACCTTTGCCAGGGCAGGCAGCTTTTCACAGGAGCCAGGAAAGGTGCTCGGCCAGAAGGACAGAGAGCAGGGTGCTGCCCCAAAGGCGGTGGGCCCTTGGGAACATTGGGTGCTGGGTGCTGGCAATGCCGGACAGAAATGTAGCCCGGCCACTTCCCGTTTGCTTGTGGCGTCCCCGAGTCAGCCAGGCTGGCGGGCTGGCGTGCAGGGCCCTCTGGAAGCGCGGCCGAGAGCCGAGCACAGTCGTGCAGAGGAGCTCTGCTTGAGCGTCACCGCTGGGCTCTTTATAAACCTAACGGGCCTCCCCGCAGTCTGAGTGGACAGGCAGCCAGATAACTGGAGCTTGAGGGCTCGATGGGAGCCATCAGCGAAGAGAACAGTTTTTCCCAACATCTCACTTGAGAGCCGTGAGTGAACCTTTCTAGACAGTGGGGGATCACGGGAGGACAGAAAGAGCTCCTGGAGGCTTTGCAACGCCAAACTCACTTGAAGTAGTTTGAAATGAATAGAAAAACCAACAGGGGAAAATGGCTAGTTCTACTGAGTCTCACGTGGCCTCCTTTCTACAAAGAACTCAAAGCCTCTTCGCTTTTAATAACGGACTCCCACCGTCAGGACTTTTAGAAGCAGCAGGTAGGTGTGGGAGGAGGACGAGGAGAGACGTGCTTAGTGGAATTATTTTAAGCGGGAAGAAGAGCAGAGGGGCCAGCACCCAAAAGCAAAGCTGGGGAAAGGCAGTCCTGGCTGTTTCCACTCAAAAAAGCCCCCGGGCAGGGAGGTTTTGAAGTCAAGTGGGCTCCTCTTCCACGGGGGCTTCCCTGCTGGGCTGCCCGCTGGCCCCCCGCACTGCCCCCAGCTCTGGGACACTGTGAAGTGGCCAGTCTGTCACACCCAGCTCCGCTGTCCCGTGGGACTGCGTGCCCTGGGCCGGGGAGGGCTGGCACCAAACTGAGCCAGTTAGAGTCGACTCCTCCCCAAATGCTACTGAAGACTAGAAAAACGTCTGGGCACAAGGGACCGTCGTAGAGTGGGGAGAGGACTAGAACAGGGGCACGGGGCGTGTGCAGAGGAGTGGGGGGCGGGTGAGGCCGGGGAGACCTGTGGGAGCCTCGGGCCGTGTCTGTAGAAGGGGCTCCGTGAGGGCCTCAGCGAGGGTGAGTCTCTGTTCCTTGAAATCCAGGATCATACGCAGTTTCCCCGGTGCCCCCACCCGTCTAGAAAGCGCAAGCGAGTTTGAGCTGGGAAGTCTCCCTCAGAAATGATGTCGGGCCTCTGTCAAGGTCGTCTGTTGTCTATTGCAAGGACGCCTCGAGAAAGCAGGTCTCTGGACCGGCTCTCTGGTTTCTGAGGCTGTGTGTGTTACGTAAGTGACCCTATAACGCCTGTGTTAGGTTAAGGTGAAGGCCCTTTCGGTTTTAAGCAGGAATTTTGGAGGGCGATCTATATCCCGTTTGAGATTTTCATTCGTTCAACAAACGCGTTTCTGCTCACCGAGCGCCTGTGATGGAGCACCACCTGGAAGGGGCGGTGGCCTTCGGGGCTCCTGGAGAAGGTGACTTGAGCCAAGTCCTGGAAAATGAGTGCATAGGTGGAGAGCAGGTTTAGGGGGCCAAGCCGGGGCGGCAGCCGTGGGGACATGGAGCCGCCCAACACCCTCTGGGATGTGGGGACGGAAACCAAGTCAATCAAGTCTCCGGGGAGGACTCGTGTGTGACAACAGGGACGGACAGGCGGGAGGAGAGGCAGGTGAGGCTCGGAGAACCTCGGGGGCCGGTCGGGCAGTCGGGTTTCCCCCAGAGGCAGTGGGACGCTGTGAAAGACGTTTAAACATCGACGTGTGTGTCTGGGAGACTCTTCTGGCAGCAGTTCTGGGGGCAGCGAGGGGGTGGCAGTGGGAACGTGCTTGGAGACGGCCGCTCGCCTCCTGGGTGGGGGTGGGGCCCGGGCAGAGCGCCCTTTCCGGTTCGAGAACGCGTCACCCCGCACTCTGCTTGGATGCGTCACACTCTGACGGTGGGACCCTTTTCACAGGTGTGGTGTGGCTGGTGGCAGTCGTCGTGGGAGCCCCCATGTGGCACGTGCAGCGACTGGAGGTAGGTTCACGGCCGGGACGATCACACTCTGTGGCACATGTGTCCTGCCCGCTCCGTGACGGCCACTGCCCTTCAAGCAAGTGGTTTACAGCCGACAGGCACGGTCTCAGTCACTGCTGCAGGGGTTTTCAGGTGGCCTCAATGTGCTCTAAGACTTTCCCGCCCTTGGCTTTATCTTGCTCTTCCTTGATCTTTTATCAGTGAGGCTAATGCCCGAAATACACTTTACTAGGGTCACTTTCTACATTTTCCCGTCAGCTGAACGTGGCTTTCCCTGTGCCCTGCAGTGCCCACTTACATTGTAAGAGTCCAGGGGTCACTCCCAAGTTTATTTTAAGCCACATAATTTTTTTAAGCTGTGTATCCTTTTCTGCCTTTTGAAATCAACCTGGGCACGCAATGCCCACCCACAAGGATACCAGATACGCCCTGAGGCTAGGGAAATGTAAAATGTGGCGGTGCTTGCTTATTTATATTTTTAAATTTTGTTTTTTTAAAGTATGGTTGATATACAAGCTAATATTGGTTGCACTGGTTTGGGTGTACATTAGTGATTCAATGTTGTTACACCTTACAATGTGATCACCCCGCTAATTCCGGTCACCATCTGTCACCTTGCAAACTTACCACAATATCATTGACGATATTCCCCTTTACCTCTCCCACCCGCCCCCTGCCCCTCCCGGCTGGTAACCATCTCTTTGGTCTCTGTATTTGTGAGGTTGTTTATGTTTTGTTAGTTTAGGCTTTGTTTTGATTTTGGTTCCAAGTGTGAGTGAAACAATATGGTGCTTGTCTTTCTTTGCCTGGTATGATTTCACTGGGCATAATTCAGACTAAGTTCACCCATGTCGTCGCAAATGGCAAGACTTTATTCTTTTTCACTGCGGTGTAATATTCCACTGCACATAGATGCCACACCTTCTCTATCCACTCATCTCCTGATGGATACCTAGGTTGCTCCCATGTCTTGGCGATTGTGAACAATGCTGCAGTGAACCCACGGGTGCTTATGTTCTTTTCAAATTAGTGTTGTCATTTTCTTTGAGTACGTAGCCGGAAGTGGAGTGGCTGGGTCACGTGGTAATTCTATGCTTTGTATCCTGAGGGCCTCCCACACTGCTTTCCACAGTGACGGCACCAGTCTGCATTCCCACTGACAGTGCCCAGGGGTGTGGCCGACCCTGGCCTGCAGAGTCCGCCTGTTGTGGCTGACCACGAGAATGAATGCACAGGCGACAACAACCCTGCGTGGAAAAAGGGAACAGGCACGACTACTCTCTCAAGGGGGAGAGTGTCTATGGTGCCTCGGCCACTCCCTCAAGAGGGCAGTGCCCTGACCCCTGCCTAGACAGGCTTTTATTGTTTTCCTGGGGTCTTGCATCAGAGAAAGATTTATTATCTATTACGTAGAATATTATTGTCTACATTTTAGGTACAACCAAAAAAACAAAAATAACATGCAGAGGGGAATGGTGATAAGCTGATTAGCTCTGTTCTTGGGAGAACTCATACAGGCTTTGGAAATCACCTTGAAGACAGACAATACACATTTGTTGCTTTAGACCAGGGTGACGGAGTTTTAGCAAGAGCAAGCCATAGTAGTCCGTATGCATTTTCTAGGCCTGATTCCCATGGGAAAACCCAGTTTGAAGGTCTGGCTCCTGCCCACCACCTCGCTTCTGTAGGTTTTCCACACAGAGCTGAGTCACATTTGCCAGACTTAAACAAACCGGTTCCCTACACAGGGGGTCACTTTTCTCCATATCTTCGATGGCACCTGTTTGCTGAATTCCTGATGGTAGCCAGTTCTGACCGGCGTGAGGTGATATCTCTTTGTGGTTCTGATTTGCATTTTTCTGGTGATTACTGATGTTGGGCATCTTTTCATATGTTTGTTGGCAATCTGTCTGTCTGCTTTGGAGAAATATCTTTTCACTTCCTCTTCCCATTTTTCGATCAGATTGTTTACTTTTTTGCTATTGAGTTATATGAGTTTCTTTTGTATTTTTGCTATCAACTCCTTATCTGATAGACCATCCGTGAATCCATTTTCCGGTCAGTGGGTTTTCTTTTTGTTTTGTTGACAGTGTCCTTTGCTGGGCAAAAAGCCGTTTAGTTTGATTTAGTTCCATTTGATTTGTTAAAAATTGTATTTCCCTTGCTTGAAGGGATGTGTCCAAAAAGACACCATGGAGGCCGATGTCGGATCCTCTACTTCCCAGGTTTTCTTTTCGGGGATTTATGGCTTCCGGCCCTGAATTCTTTAACCCATTTTGAGGTTACTTTGGCATATGGTGTAAAGAGAGGTCTGGTTGCTTCTTCCTTTTTTTTTCTTGCATGTGTCTGTGCAGGAAAGCGCAGCGTGGTTTGCGCTGTGAGTGGTGCACTGAACGAGGCGGGCTCCACACCTGAGCACAGAAAGCAAGTTCGTGCTGCCCCTCGCTCACTGCCTGTCAACGTGCCCTGGGTCTGGGGGGCAGCCCCGTCACTCCTCAGGTCATTCAGATAATGACATTCCTCTGGCCACTGTCAGTCACAAGAATAGGGACAGTGCAGTGTCACAGTCAAGTTGTCTGAATTCTCAATGAATTCAAGCCGTCACCTCCCCCCGCCCCCGGTGCTATGGGGGGGATGTGCCCCCCTTCGTCTCTGCTTTCCCACCTGTTTCTCTGCGTCCCCCTCAGCCAGCTCGCTGCCCCCGGGAGCTGCCCAGGGCAGTGGGGAGAGGACGGGGCAGCTGCTCTCTCCCTCCCCAGCCTCTGGTCCTGCAGGGAGCCACGCGGACTGGCCTGTCAGGAACGGCCCGACCGGCTGGGGGTCCATTTCATGCCCACAAACTCTAGGAGATTTGCCCATTTTTTAAATAAATTTATTTCAACATACGCTCTAAATGTAACTTAAATAGATACAACTCACTTCGTTTGTGGAAAATGCATCTAACCCAATTGGCAAAGCCAGTCCTTGCTGTCGGATCAGCCAAATTGGATTTGCTTTCTGTCAGGAAAAGTATGACTTCATTTTCCTAACCAGAGACATGGATTTATACGCACCCACAGCCTCCTTCTCACCCCTGCGTTCTGTTGGGGACGGTGCGCGTGCGCAGCGTCTTGGATCCCCGCCCCCGTGAGGGGGGGCACCAGCGGCCCCCCCACTTTGCTGCCACGGGGTTCGCCCTTGTGCTTGGAATAGGAGGCAAGTTTCAGGGGCGGAAGCAGCGAGGCAGCCTCACTGAAACGGCCATCACTCTGCCCCTTCGCTGCATGACACTCAAAGCACAACCTGTCAACACCCGCCACTCCGCCTTAGGTTCCGATGCCGAGCTTCACCCTCAGCGGGAGCCTGGCTGACCCAGGGCAAAGCACGAGGCCCGGCTGCCGTGGACTGCGGGGGCCTGGGTCAAGGGGGCTCCCCCAACACCGGTGTGGGGGCCCGTCTGTTGTTGGTTCCCCAGGTCAGGGGTGGCGAGGGGACTGTGTAGCCTGGACAAGGGACTGTGAGAGGGAGTGGGGATGCAGACCCAGTGGGGCGTGTCCGCCTGGGCCACTGTCCGAGGCGGTGGGACTTTGGAGAAGGGCACGTTTGGAAGTACTGGGTTGGTCAAAAAGCCAGTTTAGTTTTTTCCCATAAAATAAAAGATTTTTCATGTTCACTGATAACTTCATTGATGTGGATATTTTGAGTATGTCGGCCACCTCGTCTCCCACCATTGGCTTCCAGTGGGCAGAGGCTGGGGGGCTGCTGAACACCTTCCAATGCACGAGACGGTCTCACAGCAAAGGGTCATTTGGCCACAATGTCAACAGTAGAGAGAAACTTTGCAAACCACTTCTGACGTGTCCATCAGTCACAGCACCTTCTCGGCACGCATGAATCTTTTTTGTGTTTCAGATGCATTTTTCCCTTCCTTGGAATGATAAGCACACTGTGCCAAAAATGTCACCTCTTTTCTTTCATCTTCAATATTAAAATGGCTACACAAAAATTCATCAATTTGGTAAAGTTTCTTTTGTAATGCATGCGATATGACAGCTGCCACAATGCAATCTCACAAAATTGTTGCGAAGGAAGTTAACGACAATTAAGCGCTAAGAGAGCCATGGTGTGGGAAAAACGAAGAACGTTTTCGGCCACCCTAACGGCAGATCTGACACTGGTTTCCGTAAAACCCTGGGCGCGTGCTCTCAGAGTGTCTCTGTTGGGTCCGGACGGCTGCGCCTGCTGGGACACGGTCGTCAGTGGGCCCCTCGGCTGTTGGCCCTGGCGGCTCCATCTCCGGGACTCAGAATACATTTCCCTTCCATCCATATCCCGGTTCCAGGGAGTTGGGATCTCGGAATAATTCTTCACCGAGTGTTTTCATTCCCAATTAGTTGTATTTGTGAATAACACGTAGATCAGAACCTGAAGTTTATCTTTGGTGAGTACACAAACAAGCTTTTCCCCATTCGATTGATGATGCAGTTTGCTGGGAATAGAGGCAGAAATGTGTCTGAGATGTAAACATTTTCCATCTGGAAAGCTCTCGAGTAAGGAAAATGACAGCAGTTTTGATAAAGTCTCTAACTCTTATTCCTACGATCCAGAGAAGTGACTTGTTCACCGATTAAGTGTCTGTTTGTCCCTTACCAGCACCTGCCATTTTTGTGGACACTGTCCCAGTGCATTCGGACTGATGAGATGAGTCTGTCGGAAGCGGTGTGAACAAGCAGGCCTTCGGTAGAATAGACACCTCAAAGGCTTACCACTGAGCCTGAGTATTTATAGTTAGCAATAGGGTGAGTTCCAATTTCTCATTGATCTTAGACTGCAAAAGCCACTGGCTGCTCTTCCAACGTCCATGCGAGCAGCTGGGATAGAGCGGCCTACACCGGCCTCAACTTCCAGACGTCAGTTCTGAGCGTCTGTGGGCCGTCGCCGCCTGGTCAAATCTGTCTCCTCAACAGTGGAGGAGGCCAGCTAAGGTGACTTTGAGCTAGCAGGCTCGCCGCACGAAATGCTAGCTTCATGCCCACTCTGGTCGTTGTAGAAAGTTGAGTGTAGAAAGTCTGAGACAGACCAAAAGTGAACAGGGGTTGGGCCTCAGTTCCATGGGGAGTGGAAGAGGGCATGAAACTCTCAGGAAAGTAGGCAGTGAGGTGGGAAAAGCCTCGCTCCCGAACAGAAGCACTGCGGAGACCGCATGGCGCTCGAGGCGGCAGCCACGGTGAACGTGGGTGGGGGAAGCCCCGTGCTCTGCCGGCACCTGGCGGCCTCCTCCCGAGGCGCTGCCTGCCGGCTGTTCTAATGGCATCGTTCTCCTCCCGAAGATGAAGTACGACTTCCTGTATGAAAAGCAACATGTGTGCTGCTTGGAGGAGTGGGCCGGCCCCGAGCACCAGAAAGTCTACACCACCTTCATCCTCGTCATCCTCTTCCTCCTGCCCCTGGGGGTGATGCTCGGCCTGTACAGTAAAATCGGCTACGAGCTCTGGATCAGGAAGAGAGTGGAGGACAGTTCGGGGCTCCGAACCATGCACGGACGGGAGCTGTCCAAGATGGCCAGGTCGGTTTCATGAAATGCTCATCTCAGATTAAAATACACTGAACCGGTTGTGCTGGAAGGGGCGGCGGCCGGGGGTCTGGGAATTCCTGGGTCACTTAGGTGGAGCCACGTGGCGGGGACGGTGGGGGGAGCTGTGGACACGTTTGAGATCCTGTGTATGGCCGGAGAAAGGGGCGAGCTCACCAGCTCCCGAATCCAACGTGACCGTTGGAAACTTTCTGGGAAGTTAGTCACTGTTCTGTTTTCATCAGCACGTCAGGGGGGACGAGCTGTGGGTGCTGGCCTCTCTGCCGCCCACCAGCCCCACCGAGTGGGTAAGCCTCCTCCCTCCCCGGCCTCGCCTTCCCTGTGCCCCTGGGGGCCCAGCATGAATGACGGGAAGGGAAAGCCTTTGGAAACCCAAAGTATTTAATTAGCGATATATTTCATTTTTACCTAAGGGCATTGCTTTCCGATCGCATTCATTAACAGAAAATATAAAACACATCTTACTGCTTGTGGTACTTGTAGTTCATATGGTTCATTTTATAATCCACAAAGATCATAACAAAGATTCAAAACAAGGAGAAAAAATCTGGCAAGAATTCTGCCCAGGGGCTTGATGAGGTTTTAGCTTTTCTTTAAGTGTGCAGCGCCCTCTAGTGCCCAGTTTGCAGGAAGAACCCCTCCCTCTCTGGGTTCGGGTGCTCAGCCTCTCAGAACTGCCCGCTGGTTCACCAATCAGGCTTCCTGGGAGAAAGGGCTCCCACGGTGAAATAAGAAACAAGGACTGTGACTTTTTGTAAGTGTAAAGCACCAGGCAAACGTGCAGACTCCTTGCGTGTGCTTATCTCCTTCACAGAAGTAACGGAGAACGTGAGTTGAGGTCCTGGTGAACCAGGGTCTTTTAAAGACCTAGTAAAAGTCTACACCTCACGTATATCCTTGGGGCTTGCCCGAGTTCATAAATGTTGATGTTTTTCCATCACAGGGACCGGTGCTCTTCGGTACAGAATGAATCGGAGCTCAGGCACCGAAGTTAGATTGCCCATTTTAAGTTTCCCTGAGCCCCGGTGTGCTGGCGTCCCTTCCTTGCCAGTCTGTGCCAGTTCCTTGGCCTTCCCCGCCCCCCAGGTCCTGCACCTGTCAAAGGCTTGCTGGGCAGATTAATGGCACGATCCATGCCAAGCGTCTGGCAGGAGGCCAGGGGCAGAGGCCACGTCTCTCTCCGATTTTACGATGGGAGAGATGTTGAGGTGCGGGGAGAGCGGCGATGGGGAAGGTGACAAAGGACCCCCCTGTGCCCCATCGTGAACTTCCTTAACGTGGGTGAAGTCGGGGCAGAGAGGCCTGGGCTCGAACTGTGCGTCGTGGCTCTGTGACCGAGCTGACACCTTTGCCCCGACATGGGAGGGGCTGACCCAAACACTGTGTCCCCCTGGGTCCAGGAAGAAGAAGCGGGCGGTCCTCATGATGGTGACGGTGGTGACCCTCTTCACCGTGTGCTGGGCGCCCTTCCACGCCGTCCACATGGCGCTGGAGTACGGTGAGTGCTCGCCGCTCTCCCGTGGGGGGAGCGCTGCTTTGTTCCCTGCACGGTGAGTCCCCGATGCTCGCTGCTTCTGCCCTCGGTAACCAGGACCACCAGACCATGGCCTGGTAGATAATGCTGTGTGATGGTGGCCACATCTTCACAGCTGGTACAGAAGAGCAAGGAGAGGTTCTGAGATTCTCCCTGCATGCTGCGCCTTCTGCTCTCCCCCAGTTATCGCCGTCAGGACAGAGGGAGAGGCTGCATGCTGCTGATTGAGAGTCCTGATATGAGCCATGGGAATTTGGTTGCACGTGGGACCCCCGCCCACCCCTCAGTGAGGTTTCCCAAACAGGCTCAGCTGGTTCTCAGGTGACTGCGTTTCTAAATGCAAGTGAACATTGAAGAGCAGCCATTGCTCCCGGTTTACCTGCAGCTTGAGACCCCGTTAAAACTCAGGGACACCCTGACAGTGCGTGCCAGGTCCCAGGCCTGGCCTGTCAGGCGGAGGCCGGAAGAGTGAGGACGACACACAGAGGCGGATTTTCCCCAGACGTCATCACTGGCTCCCCTGCCCCCCAGGAGGTCTGGGAATTTCTCACCGCTTTTCCCCAGGTGTCCCCGCGGCGGGTGGAGACAGGTGGCAAACAGGCATCTACTGTAGGGTCATTCACACAGGTGCGCCCTCTCAAGCACGCCTCTCTATTTCAGGCGACTTTGAAAAGCACCACGACGAGGTCACCGTCAAGATGACCTTGGCCGTGGTGCAGATTGTTGGGTTCTCCAACTCCATCTGCAACCCCATTGTGTACGCGTTCATGAACGAAAGCTTCAGGAAGAACTTCCAGTCTGCAGTGTGTCGCTGCGTAGCCAGAGGACCCCGCCACCCTGCGCGGAGGAGGACAGCCAGGTGCCGCCCCGAAGAGAACGCCGAGGAGGAGACCAAGGGAGAGGCGTTCGGCGAGGGCAATGTCGGGGGCGGGCGGCAGCTGCCCGGGCCCGTCTGACGGGCTGAGAATTCTGCCTCAGGCTCTGGGCACTGGTTACAAGTTACAGCCCTGTCTCCATAATTAACGCCAGTCACAGCTTCACCGGAAGAGAAGAGTGTTCTGAGCAAAGGTCAAAGATGTTTGTTTCATCTTTGAATTCTGAGAAGAAAGAACCTTAAGTCATTTTTTCCCATAGAAATAGGACATTGCGCATGAAGACACAATTCTGAAGAGTCACTGAGCTGCCCTCGTGGCGCAGATGAGAAAAGTGGGTTTTAGCAAGTCGTGTACGCACTTGGCTAGTAGTTTTCCCCGACCCGGTCGATGTGATGTGGCTCTTTCCGTGTCGTTAAACCGGACGAGAAAATAAAAATAGTATCTTCGTCCCTGAAGAAGAGTCGCACGCTGTGGATGTAACTTCCAAGGCCCCTGGAATCTTTAAACTCGGAGACACATTGTTTCGAAGATAAGGCCCGTCCAATAATCCCAGCGTTGAAGGAGGTGGGGTGCGGCAGGTGACGCATGCAGGAGACTTAGAGGCCGACACCCGGCACCCCCGCTGTGCCCAGGTCCTGCCAGGCACCCTGCTGTGCCCACTGGCGCGTCCCTTCAGCCCTGGAGGCTCCAGCCGTGCCGCGGGCGCACCTGTGGAATGGCGCGCCCGGTTCTGGCCCTTCCATAGCTCCTCGGAGCTCAGGCTTGCCCCGTCCCCTCTGCCACCCTGCCACTTGTCCCCCGCCCTGCCCAGCGTCCCCCGTGTGCCTGCCTTGTGATGGCTTCTCTGCTCAGAAGGAGACAGATTCTCTGCTGAGTGTGATACATTTAAACCACTGTCTCAGATATTTGCATTTTTAAGTCTTTCACGCTCACCAGTGGGATGAACTTCTGGTTATTTGAGGGGGCTGTTTGTGCAGTTAGTCCATGAGAGAGAATCAGCTCCGTGCCCACGACCTTCCCTGCACCCCCGGGGACTGGCCCCCCCGAGTGGGCTCAGGCAGACCAGCAGGGCTCCCCACTCCTGCAGCTCACCCAACCCCCCTTCACCCCGACGCCTCCCACACGTGGTGGACCCCGCGCCCTGCTGTTTCCCCATCAGCATTGGAGACGCCCACGCCAGCGGCAGCCTCGTGGTCCAGGCTTCCCTCCTGCCTCGTTTTCCCACACTGATGCTCGGGCCAGGGGACGGGGAGGGCGGGGGAGCGCAAGGACTCCTGGGAACTCCCACCTGCTCAGCTTCACGGCGCGGGCCCCGGGGAGCTCAGGCCGCGGGGGTCTCGCAGGCGACAGACACTTTATTTCACGTGCGTTAACGTCAGTGTGAGTGGAGAAAAGCGCAGATGAAGCGGCGTGTGCTGTCCGGAGAAAGTGTGCTCTCGACGCAGGGAAACTAATGTCGCTGGGAGGACAGCTGGGACCTGGCGTGTGCGGAGACAGACGCGTCCAGTGTGTTTCTGTGCACTGTCCTCCTGGGCCGAGGGGTACCCCGCAGCCAGGTACCCCACAGAGATGGCCACTCCCCCACTAAGCCGTTAAAAACGAAACCGGTGCAGCGACTTCGGGGATTCTTATCTGGACAGCAGATGTGCACGCGACTCTCGCTAAAGGGGATGTGTTCGTGCTCCAAGTACGACTTCGTGGGAACCAGAGGGGTCCGCGCTGCTGCTAACCACAAGTGTTAACCGCGGCACAGCTCGATCTGGGGCATTTAGAGAGGAGGGCGTGATCTCGGCGTTTCCTGCAAAGCTGCCGGACAGCCGGCGAACGCGCTCCTGCCTGTCCCCCTTCTCCGCTTTTCCTCGCCGTGTATAATGTTTCAGAAACAAAAGTGGTTACAGCACATTTGTTTTCCATTGGAGAGATCTCTTTTGCTCTGTTATAAAGGTTTGGAAGAGATAGCGGGTCCAGCCCCCCACGGGAAACCCGTCCCGAACAAGCCAAAGCGGCCCTGACCTCCGGTGGCGGAAGGCACGCAGCCCCCGAGGCCACAAGGAGTTCCCCTCGCACCCGCGCAAGGGGCTGTGTACCGCGTTTCTCTCTCTCCTCCCCGAGGTCACAGTCCCCTCCCCCGAGTCTTTTAACCCCCTTGGTCCTCCACCCAGGGGTCCGCTGTCTCCCCCTTTCCCCCTCTCATTTCATTTCCTCTGTTTTTCCCTTGTCTGGTGCTTGGAGTGAGTTGAAAATGTCTCTTTGGACCCAGGAGGGGGAGTGAGGAGGGGGGTACAGAAAACAAGCCTGCTGCTCACTAGCACTCGGGTGAAAAGACTACGGAATCAGTGAGAAGATGGTCGCCGCTCAGACTGCGAGGCCCTTTATTTCGCTGTGGGTCGTTTTGCCAGACACAGTGCTGCCTTTCCTGCCCTGCCTCACAGCTCCCCGGGGGCCCGGACACCAGCCCGCTGCACGCCAGCCTGACTTAAGACTGGTCGCTGAGTCCAGAACGACTTTAAAAAGAAGGACCAGGCTGTGGGGCTTCTTCACCTTCTCTGAAGATTCGTTATAAATTCCAATAGTCAAGGACGTGTGGCCTGAGGACAGACGTAAATGCAGAGGAACACAGATACTAGAGCAGAGACACGGAACAAATAGGATTCAACTGGGTTCCACCTCCATGGCAACAAAATTCAGCGGGAGAAGGAGAGGTTTCGACCAAACGGCTCTGGAACAACTAGACGTCTGAGTACCAGAACCAGGCCCTTGATCCTTACACTGTGTATAAATAACTCACAATGTATCACGGCCTGAAATATAAGAGCTAAACATATAAAACTCCAGAAGAGGAAAGGCAAGAAAATTTTTTTACCCTGGAATTGGGCGAGGTGAAGATTTCCTAGGCAGGGCAGGGAAAACCGGAAGACTGAAAGAAAGAACTGATCAAATGAACTCCATGAAAATCCTCCCCCAAACCAGCAAACGAACAAACAAACAAACAAAACCTGTGCATGGAAATTCATAGCTTAATTCAAAATAACCAAATACCGGGGGACCTCAAACGTTTACCAGCTAGTGAATGAATAAATACGTTGTGTTCAAGCCTTTCAACCAAAGGGTCATTCAGTAGCTTTGCAACAGAAAGAATCAACGATCTCAACAAGAGAGGTTCGTTTGCAGAGTATTGTTGGCAGTGAAAGGAGTCAGGCAAAAAAGACCATACACCCCGTGACCCCGCACCCTGTGATCCCCGCACCCCACGACCCTGCACCCCGTGACCCCGCACCCTGTGATCCTGTACCCCGTGACCCCGTGACCCTGTACCCCGTGACCCCGCACCCCGTGACCCCGCACCCCGTGATTCCATTCGAACAAAATTCCGGAAAAGGCACAGCGCCAGGGCAGCGAACGTCGCCAGGGGCTGGCCGAGGGCGGGAGCTGGAACCCAAGGGCACAAGAGACCTTTTCGGATGCAGCAATGTTCCCTCCCTGGTGTGTGCTCGTCCTACTGGATGCAGTGGTTAAAATTTGAATTATATACTTTAAAAGGATGCATCTGTTGCATGAAAATTATACTTCGATTTTCAAAAGTACATGAGGGAATTTTCATTTTTCAATAAAAAAAATGCCAAATCCTTTTATTGGTTCCTTGACTGGGAAGAGAACCTGCAATCTAGGCATGTGCCCTGACTGGGAATCGAGCTGGTGACCTTTCAGTTTGCGGGGTGACACCCAGCTGAGCCACACCAGTCAGGACTTGGTCCATTACATTTGTGACAATATAGTACTTAGATCTGATAAGCAAACAAGAAATAAAAGGGCAAGGACTCTGCTTTCCTAACCACACGGGCCCCACGGATGGGGGATGACAGAGACAAAACCGAGAATGACGTGGAGGCCGGCCCGTCGGTGAGGTTTGGAGGAGCCTCTGGGAGATGCCAGGCCGTGACTTTCAAAGTGAACTACAGGTTTGTGCGTCCACACCCCCGTCACCAAGGAGGAAGCCCAGGCCTTGGTCGGCGTCCTCGGGTCTGGGAGGCGTCGGAGCCCATTTGCTCCTCTGAGGGGAACGGCCAGCTTCTCGTCCGAGTGGGTCCCCGATCGAGAAATGCTCTGCAGCGGCTCTGCCCCAACCCGGGGGTCCGATGGTGTCGGCTGCGGCGTGGAGATCCTGACCCCTGGGTCGCGTGGCCCATACCCCCGCAGCCCTGGAGCATCCGTGTCACACAAAGATGCCTGCCCTCGGAGCCCCTCGGCCCGGCCCCTCCACTCCTCCGGGAGACCACGGCGCAAACGTCCCTCCTGGTCACTCCATCCGGGGCTCCTTCCGTGTTCGCAGCTGGGCAGAGGGGCCTCAACTCAACGTTCTGCTTTGCTGCTTCAAGGTCGACCCGGAGCCACTGAATTCTGTTATCCGTAGGACCTGCCAGCTTTTTAAATACAATGGTGAGGAGTTATTGAGGAAAGAGCAGGTTAGCTGCCTCTCAGACGGAGGGTCTGCAGGTCCCTGAGGCCCCGGGGGGGTCCTTGGAACGCAGAACGAAAGCAAGCCCGCCCACTCCGGTGGTTGGGCTGGCGCCGCGTGGCTCCCCTTCCCTGGCTCAGCAGCTGTCTCGGAGGCCCCCTCTGCGCCAGACCCCGCCACCCTCCTCCCCTTTCAAGATCGAGAAGTTTCTTCTACTCGCAACTGGGTGCGGCTGAACAGGGTTGGTTGGCAAGTGAGAACAGGGTGAAGAATGTCACTAAAGTCAGGGAAAGCCATCAACTTAAAAAAAACACAAAGTTTGGGGGAGATCTCAGGCCTTTGTAACTTGCGCTCACCAAGACTTTCATCTCAGAGCTGTGGTTGTTGTGACTCAGCTATCAAAGCAAAAGTCAGAAAGGACACAAACTGAGATGACAATGCTCCCAGCTGCCTCACTAGGTCGGGGGGTGAGCGGGGGGCGGAGAGCTCAGCTCCATCTGGCTCACCTCTGGTCGGCCAGGCTGGGCCCTCAGCTGCTGCCACGTCACCAAACTGTGTGAACTCAGGGAGGCCTAGGGAGAGAGAAACTCTCTAAAATCAGTTTTTAATGAACCGTAAGTAGAAA